AAAAAAAAAAAAAAAAAAAAAACCCTCCAAGTTTACAAAGGAAATCTCTATTTTCATTGTGCCTATGTTTTTACTGCTATGTTTAAATTTCTTTCAAACATAAATGGACCATGTGACAAGCCTGCCTAAAATCTTCACTGCCTACTTACTACTCAGGAGATGGCTGACAGCCTTCTCAGCCCCAAGTCCCTTTCTGCTGTAACCACCCCGTCACCACCACACAAGCCTGGCACAGGACTCTTCAGCTCCTTCAGTGCTGCAAGCTCCCTGCCTTAGGCTGTGAAGTTGATTTTCCTTCTGCCCAGAAGTGTTTCCTCTACCTCTTCTCTTTATTCAAAGCCTTCTCCTCAGAGCTGTCCCCTATCCCCTCTTTAGCCCAGGCCACCCTCCCTCCTGCCAGACTCTCAGTGCCTTGTATCCATATGTCAATCTGTGGTGACTTGGTCCACTCATATGCAGAATAGTGTCCATCTCCTCTCCATACATGACCGCCACGAGGCCCTGACCACCTCATTTATGGCATAGAGGCTCTGTCTTCCTCCCTCCCCATATGGGGGAGCCCAGTCCCCTCTGAACAGGTGCTACCCTCACAATGCCTCACTTGTGACTGAGCCAGTCTAAAGCTCTAGGGTTAGTGGAGGATCCTGGAGGGACTAAAACCTCCCACTGATGCCCAGAGGCAGGGCTCCTGGAGGCTATGAGTTCCCAGCCTCCCAAGCCCCTCCCACTTCCCTGTACAGTACAGTTTGGGTTTCTGAGGTTTCAGCAGCTGCCACACATACAGAAGAGTGTGGGGGGGGTCTCTCAGAAGGACCCTGAGGCTCACTTAACTGCCATCTGCAGGCCAGTAAACTGAGTCTCAGTGAAGCCAGGCCTCTAAGCCCAACCAATGTCACAGCAGTTCTAGCCAGGACACTAAGGGCAATTAAAAAGCCTAAGCCAGTGGTACCGACCACAGTCCTGAAAGTGTCCTGCATGAGGCAAAGCTTAGTGGGCTAGACACCCTCCTCCTCCCACTGAAACAGTGCAGTGCAACAAAATTATATCATGTACCACCTATGTGATTTAGTTTCCAGTAAAAAGTCAAAAGCTACGAGTAGAACTGAATGCTTTATTTAACCTAATATTTTTTAAATATTTCAGAGGAAAGTGGGATGAAAAAAAGAAATCATGATGTGTTATGTACATGTACCAACTCCACAAAGGAATGTAAGCACCATATACTGCAAGAGTAATACAATATACATAATTTTAGCAGGGCATGATGGTGGTGTAAGCCTGTAATTTCAGCACTCTGGGAAGCTGAGGCCAGAGCATAGAAAGTTTGAGCCCAGCCTGGGCAATTTAGCGATTTGGTGAGACCCTGTTGTAAAATGAAACAAAAATAAAAAGGGGATGGAGATGAGCAAAGGCTATGGGGTTCAGTCTCCAGTGTGGGGTGAGGGTGGTGGGGGGTGGGGGTATTCAACATGTAATCATTAACAATTTTCATTAACTATATTGAACTTTTCTCACTGAAAGTGTAAAACTGGTGTGTACTGTATGTTACACACACTGCACATCTCAACACAGACTACATGGTCCAGCCCTTGGCAGCCATAGGTACTAAAGCAGCTGCCCGGCTGGACAGCTCAGATCAACCATTCTCCAGCGAGCCTCTCTGTCACATCCGGGTCCTCGCTAGACGGGGCGTGGGGGGGTGGGGCTAGCGCAAGAGCACAGTCGGCGGCACTGGACTGAGCGCAGAGGTGAGCGCCCACCCACCGGTTGTCCACTCACCTCGCCACTGCCTCCACGGAACCGGGGATGGGCACGCCACCGCCTGTGCAGCCGTCGAACAGCACTCCAGAGATGTCAAGCAGCACCCCGCGCACGCCGGCCAGTCGCTCACCCCACACAGCCATTACGTCCTACACCAAGTGTCCCAACCAGTGCTGGAGCCCGCGGTCGCGCCCGCCGCGCAGGGGGACCTGGGAGTTGTAGTCTGGCGTGCGTGATGGGCGGTACGCAAACCCGGAACCACCCGAAGCTGTCTTCTCTGTCCCAGAGATGTTCACGGGAAATAAAACCGTTCTCAGGAGGTCGCAAAAGCGGATAACAAGGCCCTCGGAAAGGGTTAACCTGCCTAAAAACCAGGGCAAAGGCAAATTGAGGCGAGAAGATATCTGTAAAAAAAACAAGAATTTAAGAGAACAGGCTGTATCAGCGCTTCGCTAGTGTTCTCCTTAGTAGCACAGTGCGACACCACTACGAGCGACAGCATACTCGACTCATTGATGGACAGTGCAGCGCCTGGGAAGGGACGCTAAGGAAATGAGTCCAAAAACGATGTTTGCATTGTAAGGTGTAATGTAAAATAAGCTGGAAGAAAAATGTGCAAGGACGGGAATTGTTCAAGAAAGTATAACAAAGAGCAAAATACAAGCTAGGTGTGGTGGCACACACACCAGTAATCCCAGCATTCTGAGAGACTGAGGCAAGAGGATCGCAAGTCTGAGCCCAGCCTGGGGAAATAAACAAATTTTGAATTCTGAAAACATAATAAAAAGAGCTGGGACGTAGCTCAATGCGAAGGCTCTGGGTTTAATCCTCAGTACTTATAAATAACAGACAGTGGCCCTGCAAAAATGAGGATGCATAAGAATAGAACTTGGTGGCCAGGGATTTAGCTCAGTGGTGCTGTCGCCTGCCTGGCAAGTGCAAGGTCCTGAGTTCGATCCCGGGTACACGGTACAAAAACAAAACAAAACAAAACAAAACTGGAAGTGGAAATATTACTGTATATTAGGCCCAGAGATTTTTAGAGGAATTATAAAATTACATTTAATGTTACATTTTTATTTCCTTCACAGTCCCTCTGAAGTGATTAATTAAATTGAAACAGGAAAATTTGACTTCTGTTATAGATGTTGAAGGCGATCAGCTATTATTATTTCAGGCTCTTGTTTCCAGAAAGGATTAATTCATTGCAATGTTAGAGCTTTAACTCAGTTTAATGAATTGTGCATATTCTGTTGATAAACTTACTAGGGAGCTGCTTACAAGAGAAAAATAAAAAACATTTCTCCCTTTAGGGGATTTACAATGCCAGGGAAGAGTATTATACTGCATATAAAGGTTCTTAGTTGCAGACAGTAGGGTCCACACTAGCTACATGGGTTTGTTTACACAAGGCATGAAGGAACTTAAAGATTTCCAGAAGGGCCGGAGAACCAAACTCAAATACCTCACATTCAGGAACCATGCATTTATAAGAAATGGCTATTTTCACTGCTGCATTGGAAGTACTACTCCATCACTTGGCTGCCAAGATGCCAGAGACCTAATATTACAGCCCATAGCTGAGGTGCAGCAAAAATATATATATATATATACACATTTAATCCTGTCCCCTCAGAAGCGTCCTTTCTCCTATGACCAGTGCCTCACCTTTACCATGACTAGCTTAGTGGAACCTATTCCAACCTGAATTCAAATCTAGGAAATGTAGTTTTTTGCCTTTCAGACTCCGAATTATATAAGGTAGGTGAGTCAGTCTGCATAATATGCCAGGAACAACATGAAACACGTATTGAGCCTTTGGCTCTGTGCAGTGGGCTCTAGGGGTGCAAAGTGGCCTAAGAGATCTTTGGCTTCAAAGGTAAAGATTGGGCAGAGGACAAGGCATTTACCTTCAAGATTACTGATCCAGTAGGCATCAAATGCTAGTATGACACAGATACAGCCAAGAAGATGCTCTCTGTGGGCCATGGAGGGTAGCAGTAGCTTCTGAGCAGATAGGCAGCCTGAAATGGATCTGGAAAGAATGACTGGGCTTCAGCTTCATGCCAAAGAGGAATAAGAAGGGTGCTTCTGCCTGTGTGTGAGCCTACATGTATCCCTCTTCAACTAGCTCTGCATGTGACCTTGGGAGGGTCATTTTCCATCTCTAGGACTGGTAGACAGAAAAATGTCTCCGTGAGAGAGCCACATCCCAATTCTCCAAACCTGTAAATATGTTATCTTACATAACAAAAGAGGACTCTGAAGATATAGTTAAGCCTAAGATCTTCTGGAGTGATGTCTAGGATGATCCAAGTGCATCCAAAGTAGTCCCAAGGGTCCTTAGGGAAAGTGACAGAGGCAGGCAAGTTAGAGAAGGAGATATGTCAATAGAAGCAAGGGAGAGAGGGAGAGAGGAAAGGGGGGAGGACGACGAGGAGGAGAGATTTATTTGAAAATGCTGCAGTCACCCTGAATAAAAGGGACCATGAACCAAGAAAAGCAAGCACCTTCTAGAAGCTGGAAAAGGCAGAGAAATGGCTTGATTTCCAGAGCTTCTAGAAGGAATACAGCCCTGTGGACACCTTGGTTTTAAGATTTTTGACCTCTAGAACTGTAAATAATATATCTGTCATTTGGAGCCATCAAATTTGTGGTATTGTATTTATTATAGTGGTGATAGGGATGGAATACAGGGACCCAGGTCCCTCACCTGAAAAATTACATGTTGACTATTAAGTGTGGTCCAGTAACAAACTGAGGCCTGATCTGAAAATCCAAGACTTTCTTTGGATATAATGGGCAAAGAGCATTATTTAAATTAGGATCACATTGGGCTGCATGTAACAAAGAAAAGAAAAAAACTCTAGTTGATTAATAAAATAGGGTTACTTTCCCTCATATGTTATGAAGCCAAGAGGAAGGGAATCCTGAGCGGGTACAGCAGTACCTGATCGAACTCAGGACCTGCTAGGGCCAGTAGGGAACAGTCTCTGTCTTTCTGCACCACTACCCTCAACATGACTCTCATTGTCTTAAGGTGCCTGAGGTACCCTCTTCTTCACAGGGCATGAAGGAACTTATAGGGAAGATCCCTAAGCCAAGAGGAAGTTGAGGAGGAAAACAAAAAGTTCCCCAGACACTGAAAGGCTGAAATAATGTTGTGGAAGGAATTGGCAAGTGTCACTTACAGAGAAGCAGAATGGAAGTAAAATAATCAAAAATTTATTTTTTCAGCAAAGGTCGATCACATTCAAAAAGGCAGTGCCAGTGATCGACCACCTACTGGGTTGCAGCTTCTTCTTTTATAGGTTTTACAGCTATGATCTCATTCATGTGGTTACATTTCATTTCCTCAGTTCACATTACCCATGTGCAAATTACAGTAACAAGACTGTTCACTTTAACCCAGATGTAACAATTGCTTGTAGTTAGGGAGTATACCTTAAGATTCGATTCGTCTAGCTATCTGTTCTAGTGCATAGGAAGGGAGTGTTCAAGGTTAGGGATGAGGCCAGATATCCCACTTCATGGTCAGTGTCTGTTAATTTGGAACTAAGCAAAGCAGATTGCTATTAGAGACAGCAGAAGTCATTTTACATTTTCCTAACATTTTGTAGGTTTTTAGATTATTTACAAAAGTTCTCTGTATCAATAAGCGGATCACAGCCTGAGCCAAGCCTGAGCAACTCAGCAACTCTGTGAGACCCTGTCTCAAAATAAAGTATAAAAAAAGAGCTGGGAATGTAGGTCAGTGCAAAGGTTCTGGGTTAAATCCCCAGTATGAAGGAAAGAAAAGAGAGAGAGAGAGATTGGGAGGGAGGGAAAGAAGGGGAAGGGAGGGAGAGAAAAGAAAAAAAAGAAAGGTGGGGTTAGTACAAAGGCCCTGGGTTTCATGTGGAAGGAAAAAAACAAAAACACTCCAGAATCCTAATGATGGCCTCATCTTTTGGTCCAGAACTCATGAAGTGGCACATACCACTATACCGTGCAGGGACATACACTCTACCAACAGCTTTGGGCATGTTAATTTTTCAATAACCGTTCTACAAGTCATGTCTAAATTTGTTCAAATATGAATTCATAAATCCTCGATTGCTGTCAGATGTTCACAGTATATTTTCAGATTTATTTGTATTAATCAGGAATCTTGCTGCCAGTGTCAGAAACCAGATTCCAAATGATTGAGAGGGAATCTTTTGGCTTGTACCAGTAGTCTAGCAGTTGATAGCTTCAGGTATGGCTGATTACCAGCTCTAAGGAAGAGTCCCAGGGAAATCACCTGGTGAGGAACTTTGTCCTCATCTCCAGAAAGAACTGATCACGTCTGTTGGGTCAGTATCCCAATTCCTGTGCCTGAAGAAAGTGGTGTCATGAGGATCAGGCTGACTCTTGTGCCTTCTCAGATCTATTAGTCACTTTTTCGACTGCTGGGAAAAAATACCTGACACCACCGATTAAAGCAGAGTTTTATTTTGGCTCATAGGTTCAGTGCATGATTGTTGACTGACTCCAAGGCGAAACATAGTGGTGGAAGGGCATGGTGGAGCAGAGCTGCTCACTGCATGATAACCAGGAAGCTGAGCATGGAGGAAGAGCCCCAGTGAGGAAGGGGCCAGGGACCAGAGGTAGTTCCCAAGGTCATGCTTTCATGAACACATAAACATACCCAGAAGTATGCTTTACTAATCCCCTCAGTGGATCTCAAACTAGTCAAGATTGTCACACCAGAGCTGGGAGAAAGGCATAATTGTAAGGTCCCACCATGGCCTTGTGGCATGGGAAGAAAAAGCTCCCCACCCCCAACAAAAAAGCAGGGCACTGTAACAAGAGTGAGAAACAAACGACACTGTACAATTTATCTGTGGCCCAGCTCACCTAGTTGCACTGATATCACCAGTCTTGTTATTAGGCAGGCCAGGGATAGGTGATCATGTGGACCTGGGGTCCCCTCTCATTGGCATACATCACAATCACCTTAAAACACAGGATTTAGGAAGTCTAAGGTGGCCCTGAGAGTCCTGGGTATGACTTCTCTTGTGTGGCCTGAGTGTCCCACAGTGTGACAGCCAGAGTAGAACAGGAAATGTCTCATGAACAAGTATCCTGTGAGAACAAGGGGGAGCCCTTGGGCTTCTTGTTACCTAGCCTGGGAAACCAGAGTCACTTCAGATGTGTTGTATTGGTTACCCAGAGGCAGACCAGCTTTAGCATTGTATTCAAGGGCATTTTCAGGCATGCATGCCAGTGTGGCTTCTTTGGGTTGGTGTTCTTTGGAGACCAGATACCACAACACAGAGTGTCGGAAATGCTACACTTGGTTCAGCATGGGTTTTTCTCTACTTGTGTGGGTTTCTTCTGCATGTATGGCCAGCAAGTATGCCCCTCTTAAAGGCATACGATTGCTCCACAGAAGTATGACACTTCTCCCAAGTCAGATCAATTATGAACTCACCCATATCTAAACGTTTCTCGATCCTATATCTTCAGCCTGCATCACCTCTTAAGGTATGCATTTCCAACTCATTTTAAATTCTGGAGCTTTGGATTTGCTATCAGACTACATTTATTCCTTCCAACTCTTTCATCTAAGAAATGTGAAGGTGTTAATAGGTAAAAAGACAAATGCTCTGTGGCTTCTGACTTC